TTTTCTTTTCTTTTCTGGTAGAGATGATAACTCCAAAGAAGATTTTATTTATTATCTTCTTCTAAGACATTAACCAAGGAGCTCTAGTGGCAAAGTGTTTATAACATTGGGCTGCTAACCACAAGGTAAGCAGTTCAAAGCCACCAGCCGCTCCATGGGAGAAAGACGAGGCAGTCTGCTTCCGTGAAGGTTTACAGTCTTGGAAACCCTTACTCCTCTCGGGGCGGTTCTCCTCTGTCCTACAGGGTCACTATGAGTCAGAATCTATTTGATGGCAGTGGGCTTTGAAAGACATTAACCAGTTTTGAATCTGATTTAGAAATCTTTCTTGAACATTCCTTTTTCCACTGGCTTTTTATCTGTTTCTCACATCCTCATTTAATCACTTGTCATTCTGCTAGTTCCCTCATTAAATGAGTTAGATAAAACTTCTGACACATGTTCACTATCTATTTGTATGTTTTTAACAATTTCAGAATTAATCTTTGATAGTTTACAGGACTAACAAAGAATTCAGCCCTTGGGAGATGGAGTCTGGACACCAAGGCTTCTTACCTGCCATGCTCATAGGGCAGCACACAAAGACAAGATTCCAGGCTGACTGAGTCAGGCAGCTGGTGGGGCACAAATGTGGCTCAACGTAGGTGTGTTATCTCCCTTCCCCCACCAGAGGCCACAGCTTTACACACAGAAAAACGCACATATGCCAAAGTGAGTGGGGGCAGCAATTCCGCTGCTACAAATATATCCAAGAGAAATGAGTGCTTATGTCCATAAGAAGACTTACATAAAAATGTCTAAAGCCTTTATTCATCATAGCCCCAAACTGGAAGCAACCCAAATATCCATCAGTAGGAAAATGGATAAATTATGACATATTCCTATAAGGGGAGACAGTGAGTTGGTTTTGGGTTTATGCAGGAAGAACCAACCACTGATACATGTAACACTGTTTGGTTACATATATACATAAAAGAAAGCAAGGCAGCCAAAAAAGAGCACATACTGTACGATTCCATTCACATGGAATTCAAGCACATGCCAAAAGAGTCTGTGATGATAGATTACCTGGGGGAGGGGCAGCCGTGGAAGGGGGATGGCTGGGAAAAGGGCACGATGGAGGTTTCTGTAAAGATGGAAATAGTATTGACTGCGATGGTGGTTATGCAGGGACATACCTGTATAAAAAACCACCAAGCCATACACGAATAGACCCCAAAAGAGTGGATGGGGAGAGTGGTAGGGAGAAGAAAGGGGAGGGGGATTTGAAAAGTAAATAGGAATTAGCCAAATCCAAGAAGCAGCAGACAAACCCCAAACCCAAACATGTATGTGCACCAATGAGTCTGAGCCTGGGAGCTGGCAAAGCGTGGGATAGCCTGGGTCTGTATGGGGATGCAGGAGCCTACCTGGTATTCTCTTAAGGGAACAAAGCAATACCGAGTTAGACAGAGATACTGAACCCCAAAACCCTTTGGTGGACCACACTCAAAAGGGACACTGATTAACGTACTGATAAATGGATCAAGCCAATGCTTAAGCAGGCTCTCTGCCAATATCAGCGACACAAAGACATGCAAGTAAATGATAGGATTCTACAAGTTCTCCCATTCAATCTGAGGACGTATTACTCTTGAGCTAAACAAGACATTATAATTTAAAGAAGTATTTTCTGCTTTTAGAATCCGCTAGGGGACTTTTTGTTATTGTTAAACTCCACTGCATCCACCTACTGAATTTTCAATAATGGGCCCAAAACATTCCCAGCCGGTGAAGACCTGTAAAGAGACGCAGCCATACGAAAGAAGTTTCTTTTTCTGTCCAATACGACAGCCACGAGTAGTGCAGCCCCAGCTGTGCCTGCCGCACCCTCTCTGTGCCCCAGGTGGAATGGGCGCCTCCCAGGAGCATGGCTGCCGCTCAAGCCGAGATTCCATGACAGCTGGATAGGCAAGAGCAGGGCTATCTGTGCCCAGGGGAGAGGGCCCATTCCTTCAACCACTAACAAGAGCAGCGGCACACTCGGCAGGTAACCAGCCACCATGCTAAGTGACTTCCACACACTGTCTCATTTACCTGCAGAATGGCTGGATGAGGAGGTCGGGCTCTCGAAAGCAAACAGCACATTGAAATTAGCATAACCCGAGGCATAATTAATAAAGAAGTGTTTACAAAATGGGTAGGGTATAGTGAAAACTCAAGGCAATATCCAGGGCTAGAAGCAAGGGTGCCCCTAAACCTGTAGGGGTCAGAGAGAGGATGTACAAGAAGGTGGGCTTCATAGGTGCAGCAAGGCAACCCCACAGGCAGGAAGTCGGCAGAGTAACCCCCTAACCTCACTGTCCTCCTGCCCTCCCAGTGGGGGCTAGTCAGGGATCCCCTGGAGCCAAAGCCGTGGGAAGGCAGAGCAGGTGGACAATGGGGTAGAGAGCACCTGGTGGGGCAACGAGACCACATTACCCCAACTTGACAGGGGAGGAAGTCCTCTGTTCCCTGGTGCTTGGGGTCCCAGAGCCTGGGTAAGCTTTTCCTGCCCCACTGTCCCTGCCCTGGGTCCCTGGCACCTCCCACAAATGCCTGCAGCACTCCAGCTACTACCTCCGTCTGGCAGCCTTAAGAGTCAATTCGGTATGTTTTGTAAGCACCTCCCACCTCAAGTGTTCTCATTCTGTGTATTTGTAGTTTGGAATGAGGAGGAACGAAGCCAAGAGGACACGTTAAATGCTTTCAAAACAGGGCCTTACTTACTCCAAAGGTGGAGCAGATGCTGTAGCCCGTTCCCTTTCCCAGTGTCCCCCTCTCACTTTCCCACAGGCCTCCTCTCTCAGTCCTCCATCCTTCACGTCTACTCCGAGTTTTGCGCCTTTTATCTTGAAAAACACTCCTTCTGCATCCTAAAAACCAAAACCAAACTCTGCCATCGCGTCAGATGAATCAGATCCGACTCAGCGACCCCTCCTTGGGTTTCTGAGGCAGTATCACTACGGAAGTAGATTGCCCAGTTTTCCTTCCAAGGAATGGGTATGAACCACCAGCCTTTCGGTTAGCAGTCACATGCCTTAGGCACTACGCCACCAGAGCTCCTCATCCTAGTTTGGCTCAATTTTAAGGATGGTCTTTTCCCCAAACAGTTTTATGTTTGGAAAGCCAAAGAATTAACTCCTGTTTACACATCAACAGCCTTTTCCCCGGCCCAGATTTAATGCTTTCCTACTCTAAAATTGGAGAGCTGCTAGGTTCAACTGTGGTGCTCCGGTGTCAATTACCCACTCACAGCGACCCTACATGACAGAGTAGAACTGCCCCATAGAGCTTCCTCGGCTTTAATCTTCACAGAAACAGATCACCAGGTCCGTCTCCTGTGCAGCCACTGCATGGGTTCAAACCACAAGTGCAGTCCAAGAAAAGAGTTTATACCACTTAGAGAAAGCAATGTTTATCAGCATGTTAGGAACAAAACTCTCCCCAGCTTTCTGTACGCGAAGGAAAGAGAATGAAGGACAGAGGGAGGGAGGAAGAGAGACTGAGAGAAAGGGAGTAAGAAAAATGTTAGCAGATGGCCCTGAGGCGAGATCCTGAAGAAAGACTACGATGTGTTCCAACTGGTTCCAGTCTAGGGGCAGGGTAAGGCCCAATGCAGTTCTCGGGAGCTTCGGGAGCTGGAAGTCTGGAGTGTATCAACCCTTTTCATCAACAACCCCTTCTCATAAAACCTTCCCACTGAGCCCTCAGGGCTCTTTTAGGGGCTAGCTGCTTTTCTGGATGGCACAACTGATTAAGTCTCCAGCTACTGACAGAAAGGCTGGCTGTTCAAATGCACCCAGAGGCGCCTTGGAAGAAAGGCCTGGTAATCTGCCTCTAAACTGCCCCAGTCTTGAACACCCTGTGAACCAGTTCTACTCCGCACACACGGGGCGCCATGAGTTGGAATCGCTTTTGGTTTTTTGTTCGTTTACCTGCTTTTCTCAGCCCAGCCTTCCTCACAGTGTCTGCCACCTATAACCACATTTCTCTTAAGTCTGTCCTGGACTCACAGAGACTGGGAGTTTCTGCTTGTTTCTAAGAATGTAGCTCTTACTACTAAGAACAATCCATTTTTCTCAGGTGTCAGGTAGGAAGTTTATGGTACAGGGACCTTTTTTTTTTTTTATTTGGGTGAAAGTGTACAGAGCAGACTGGTTTTCCAATCCACAATCCATACACATTCTATTTTTTGACATTCCCTGAAATCCCCACCCTGTAACAGCATTCCTCCCACTTCCTCCCTGCACCGACCCCCTCCCTTCGCTTTTCCCCATCCCTTCCTGCCTTCATAGCTCTATCCCTGGGCAAATGCTGTATGCCTGTTCTAAGGAATGAGGACCCTTCTGGCATTATGATACAGGGGCGTTTCAGACCAAACTATTATCTACTAATGTAGTAATGTAACATATTAACATGAATACTCTATATTTTAACAATTAAACTCTAAATAAATTCTACAAAGGGCATGGTTTTTTAACCTTTACTTAAAAAAAAGGCAGGTTTTATTCAATGCTTCATGGACATAAAGGGGAAAAGGAAAATAATAATATTCCTACCAAAACACAATATGAACACAAAAGGTAAAAAACAGTGTAATTTGAATTCTGCATTTGATTGGACTGCTACTTAAGTGGTCAAAACTGCATTTCATCCTCATTTTGCATACGAAAAAGGGCAAAATTCTTTTAAACTATAAAACAAATAAATAAAACAATTTAATAAGCTTTCTATTTTTCTGGCATTTTTTAGAAGTGATACATTTAGGAAAAATATCATTCTGGGCCTTAAAAAGTCGACTTCAAAACAGATGTACCCAGATGGCAAAGGCAAGGCTATACGTGTTCTTTTTGACACAGGAGGTCAAGCTGTCAATGTATCCCCTAAGAGAGTCCCATGAAACCCAGCCTCCAGTGACCCACGACCTTTGTGCAGCAGACCCCACAGGACACAGTAAAAGGGTTTCGCTTTGTACTCACTCTTACAAAGTTGTCAGGGAACAAACCTCTCCTGCCATTGATCTGTCCCTCCCACCAGCCTCCATCTTCCTTCCTGATGTTGGTGATGATCTCACCCACGCTGATCGTCAGCTCATCATCGTGCTGGGCTTGGTAGTCAAACTCCACTATGGCCTCCACTGAAAAGAACAGAAGAAAAAGAACAAATTAGAGTCAGATGGTGGAGAAGTTTGAGGTCCAGCATCTATGAAGGCCAATGAGGTCATAGTAAAGGGACTTCCCCTCTATGAATACTCAAAATAATAGGGCCACACATAGCAACCCAATTTTGGTTAACCTGAGGCCTATAGCACATAAACCAAGTGCTACTTGTGGTCAGGCCCAGGTGGGGCAGTCTATATAGCTCTCAGGGTCAACAGGGGGTTTGGAGGGGAAACCACACAGTGACAGATGGCTAGCAATGTTTGCCTCACCCAGAGGGAGCCGAGCGTCATCTTCCAAAGCAGATACCAGAGCCGAGTTTGGCTCTTGGGCCCCTCCTCCCTTACCAATACTAACAGTATGATGATGCTAACCTTTCTGGGCCCTGGTTCTGCAAAATGTGGATGATAATCATTCCCACCCCATAGAGACAACGCTCATCTCTCAGCAACAATGCATGTAAAGACAGCTTGTACAGAGGGCCCAGCTGGCCAAACCAGTGTCTCAGACTTTCAAAACCATAACTGCCCCCTCAATAGATGAATTCTTAGGCAGCAATACCATTTTCCACTGTTTTCCCAATCTATGATAATATGTAACACTTGGTAAGAGGTGGAAGCCATACGTAAGAAGGATGGCTCTTCTTGTTTCCAGAGTGCCTATGCAGATTATCAGAGCTAGCCAATGCACAGACTGGTCAACTTACCCACAGATTCATTACTCAATTCACCTAGACTTTGGGCCTTTCCTTATGCCCACCTCAACATAAACAAATCTCCTGACCTACTTTTTTTCATTCAAAGCTCTGAATGAGTGAAGAAGGACTATATACAAAGGTGGAGAAAATCAGATAAAACTCAAAATGGTGAATTATCAAG